GCGCCGTATGAGTGAGGAAGAAAGAGTGAAGATTGGGAGAATAAACAAAAAATAGGAAAAGAATAGGTCTCCGTGTTGTTGAGCGGTGTGAAGGGCAAAGTATTAACCTAAATATAATTTTTTTGGGATAATTATTCTTAGTCATCCAACTTCATCCTTTTATTTCCATACTAGTCACATGCCATGCACTTATTTCATCTTGTTGCAAGTCAAGGTCCTAATATTGCTATTTTATACTTTTTTTTATTAGTGGTTTAGGATGATAAGTCTAGGGTAAAATAACGTATAAGTCATCCAAATTTAGGCTTTTTTTTATAAAATGGTCACTATTTTCATGTTTTTCATATATTTCGAATTTGATGCTTTGATTTTCATAGTTTTTGTTTTAGTCATTTACTGCATGCTTGATTTATTTTCATTAATGTTTGATTCGATCTTGTGGTGATCTGATCCGAGATACGACCCACATTATTATGATATGGATCCTTTTAATATTATTCTAATTATTAACTTTTCTAACTTCTAACTACTAACTTCTAATTTCTTGTACTCAAATCATCGTACGACCTCATGGTGACCCGTCCTGGGATATGATCCGTGTTATTAAGGTCCGAGTTAAAATGCTAACAATACTAATCGCTAACTCCCGACTTTTATTTTATTTTTATTTCTAACACTACTAACCTCTGACTACTCACTTTTATTTAATTTTATTGCTATGTTTTTATGCCAATAACTGCTAACTTTTATTTCTCGCATTCGAACCATTGAATGACATTGTAGTGACCCACCTTATTACGGTTCGGGTTAAAAATTAAATTATTAATTTCTTAACCATATTTTCTTGTTATTTGCATCCTAATATTTTAATTTTTAGTTTTTATTGTTCTACCCTTTTATTTTTCAATATTTATATTTCAGTCCTTTTAAATTCCACATTTTCTTTTTTTTCCTTATTTTTAAATTGAGCTTCATATTCTGTTTTATTTCATTTTAGTCTTACATGTTATTTATGAGTTTATGTCATTTTCATTACATGCGATTTACTTTATTGGCATGATTAGTCCGAATACTTTTTATTATTTTATTTTAATACCCTTTGGGTGTTGATTTCAATTTTTGTTATTTATTAATTTTCATTTTTATGTCTCCCAAATTATTAATGGTTTTAATGCAAGACAACCCACATAATTTCTCACCAGTGTAGATCTGACCTTTAATTTATATTTTTAACTTTTATGAGTTTGGCCCATGTTTTCTTATTTTATTTTATTTTGACCCTCGTATTATTATATGTATAGTATAACACCATCTATTGTTCTTTAAAATGGTAGAATACCATTAAGATTCAGTAATAGTTATCACTAAGCTTATTTTGCACTCTTATGAAATTTCAAGAATGTCTTTTGTAGAATGGGCATGAAAAGTGTAACTTGTTAGAAGTAGCACGATTCAATACGACATTTGAACAAAAATTAAACTTGAAAATAATAGAGTGTGGTTTGATAAAAAATGAAATAATAAAAAAGAAATCATTATTTTGTTTAAATAACAAAAATATTTTTTGTATGATGTTTGATGTATGTTGTTTGATTTATTTCTCTTATATTCCATTCATGTTTAATATGAGGTTTTAACAAATAAATAAATTATTCAACATTCGATAAAAGGATCACATTTTAAATTTTGACTCGAATCTACAAGTTCCGCCACTACGACAACATATAAGCGATTATGTACCAATTTTGGGCGTTGTGAGGGTACTAATCCTTCCCCCACACGTAACCGACTCCCGAGCCCTTAAAAACAAATCTTTGGTTAATGCAGACTGATTTTTATCTTTAAAATGGTTTTTCTTAAAATTGTTTTAAATGATATTGTTAGGTATTTGACTTACCTAACCCTAAGGTCGATGGAGACTCTAAATCAAATCGATTTCGAAACCCATCATTTCTCGAAATTCTTACTATTTTTATCTTGTTATAAAAAATGGTGACGACAACTTGGCGACTCCATTGGGGATTGGTTAAAGAGTTAGGCTATTAATCGTTTATGCGTTGTCTTAGTGGTGAAAATTATGGATTCGAGTCTAAAATTAGATTATAATTTTTTTAATTGAACATTGATTAATTTATTATTCATTTTTATGTAAATAGTTGTACTGATGTTTGAACTAATAGTTGCAGCTTCATTGAATTTTCCTTTCTGAAAGTATTTATCTTTGTTTTGTGTTTGGTTAAAGGTTTATATGTTCTTGCATCACATTACATAAGCTCCATACCCTATCTCTGTCCTGATTAAGTAAGGGTGAACGCTATGCTTTCGTGGTGAATTTATTCCTTGTATGATCTATAGTCACTAACCTCTGAGATATACACCTTGTACCTCTATGGGAATTTATTTACTCATATGGGTATAGGGAATTGGATCTCCTTAAAATAAACTCATTCCATCTTAAGCTTATAATGGGTGAGAATCGAGGGTTTGATAGCCCAAAAGGGCACCAGCATCAAGGACAATTTGAGTACCCTTCTTCCATAGAGTCAAAACCATGCATATAGTGAACCATAGACTGGCCACTCTAGGTAGAGCAATACCGAACCTCTATCCGTCAATAGGTACCAAAATAGGTGTTGACAAAGGAATAACAATTCTAAAACTTTACACTTTGCTTTAAATTCATATAATAAATTTCTTTTTTAATGAAAGCATGTGAACTAGATACCATGCAGTTAGGATTGATTGAAATAAAATGTGTAGGTAGAAAACATGCCCGTGTAGGTTTGTTATCTAATAAAAACATGTTGGGTAAATATCATGATGGGGTAGGTGCTATATTCACCTCTAAATAGCATTTTATTCCTCATCAATTATCTTATTTATGCCAACTCATTTCTTGTTTTATGTCATTTTCTCCTTTATGCATCACATTATCATTACATAATACAAAATTGAGTATCTAAGTGGAAATGTTTCAAAGGGAGAAAGAAGTATTCAATCAATTAGTCGCATACACATACATGCACCGATGGCTAGGAGAAGCTCAAAGAGAACAACGAGGGAGCTCGCTTGGAGAATCAAGCATCAGAGTCGATTTATAACACGACATCCAAGATTAGAGGGCATCGCAAGGGCATCATCCGAGATAGGCCATAATTTGAATAACTCTACATAAGCCCAATGATCATAGAGCACTTGATGAAATCCAATCCGAAACATTAGCGTACTTTAGACCAAGCAAAACCATGTCTATAAAATGGACTACTTTGTAAAGTAAAAACTTTTATCTTCAATGAAACATTTTCCATGATGTTCATCGTTGGGATCAACACCATTTGCATTTTCATTTGTATTTTGCATGTGCATTCACAGCTCTGCATCTTTTTTTTTACATATATATGTACCTACTATTATCAAGAACACTTTATACCCATATAGTACAGGAAAAGATGAGTAAGGAAATGAAAGACAAAATAGAGAAATTTGAGAAAACAATAGAATGAATTACAAGAAGAAGTGAGAGGTCGGTTGACTAAAATTGAGGCTGATATTGCTAGATCTTAACTAGATTTATTGGACAAGATAGAAGAAATGTGCATGATGAATGTGATTGCTAGAAATAGTCTTGTAGAAGGCCCTACGCATCCCCTAGGTTTTACACTTATTCATATTCTAGTGAACACCCCGGTGCATCAGGAATCTAGTCCCGAATTTTCTTTGCTGCTGAGAACCCACCTCAACATCAGGCTAGGTCTTATATCCAAATTAATTTCCCTAATGTGTTTGGAGTGAAATATAGTGTTCTTCACGCTGATAATAAGGTCCCTGAGCTGAATGAAATGTCTGTGAATGAAAGAGCCAAGAATGATCAAGCCCAATGATTGAAAATTTTAGATGAGAAGATAAAATCTAGACAGATGACTGAGTCTTTTTATAGGTTCGATGCCATAGAGCTAAGTTTTATCCCCGACCTGGTCCTTTTGCCAAAGTTTAAAGCTCCTGACATTGAGAAGTATGATGGTACCACTTGACATTCGTCCCACATCACCATGTTTTGTAGGAAAATAGATGGTCATGTGGAGAATGAGGATCTGTTGATCCACTACTTTCAAGACAGTATGATTGGACCCGCTTCTAAGTGGTATAAACAACTAAATCATACTCAAATCAATTCTTGTAAATATTTAGCTCAGGACTTCTTATGACAAAAAAAAATCGTGACTGATATGGCCCATGATCATACAACACTACAAAATATGGAGATGAAGTATAACGGGAGCTTCCGATAGTATGCACAACAATGAAAAACAGATACATACCAAACACATCCACCACTAACTAAAAGCGAGTTTACCATCATGCTCAGTAATATATTAAAGTCCCCATATATTTATCACATGATAAGAGTAGCCATAAATATTTTCTCTAACATCGTCATATGTAGAGAAATGGTCAAAAGAGCTATCAAGAATGGTAAGATAAGGGGCAGTGTTGGCGTCAAGGAAATAGTTAAGGTCAATACAGTGAGATCTTATTCAGATAATCGTAGGACCATGTAACATAAGGTGAATCGAGAGAACACTTATATCGACCTAATTCCAAAGGCATACGAAGAATTGTTCCCAATACTAGTCGAGATTAACCTGATAACTCTAGTGCAATCTAAGAGACATGAACCATATAGGAAGCTCAGGGTACACTACCGAGAATTGTGGGCCATTGAGGCATAAGGTTCAATTTTTGATCAATTCTAGGGCATGACCTTCGAAGAGCGATGTGGCATTATGATGCGAGTAAAGAAAAAGTCATTGCATCCACCATGAAGCTTTGTTGCACTTGCATGAAAAATCATTTCATCTTGTTTGAACTTGTTTTTCCTTATTTTTTTAAAGTTTATAAGTCACTTGACAATCGAACATATTAAATAAAATGTTACCTTATGAGGTTATGAACAATTAGAAAAGTTCAATATTGAAATTCTCTAAATATTTAGTTTAGACCAGTTACTTGAGAATTAAACTCTAAAAATGAACTTTTCATACTTCCAATGACACCTAGACTATAATAGGTTATTCTCAATGAGCTTAAGAAATTGAATCTGTATACCCAAGATGTTAAAAGCCCTGGATTTATGGATAGATTCCTTTAGATAGCCAAATAAAGGCAAATAATATATATGTATCTAAGCTATTCCTCTAAAATAATTGGTTAAAAACCCTGACTTCATGGATAGATTCCTTTAGCTTGCCAAAAACGTCAAATTACATTAAATTTAATAAATAAGGAGTTTTAGTGAATATGGACTAAGGGAGTTGAGGAAAACCTTTTATAGTCAATTTCACACAAACACTCATGAATGTTGTTTTTAGACCGATATTTTTGTAATGTCTCTGTTAAAGGGGTTTATGAAGATTGAACAAATGGAAAATTTTAAATAATTGAAATAGGAGTTCTCTGAAAGGTCTAGCAATTGAATATGCTAGTTGCAACATTTTGTCCAAATCTGATTTAAAGGCCAAGCCAAGAAAGAAAGACATGTCATAAGGTTCACACGGACTGCGAAATGAGTAATCTATCGATTATTGAAACCTTAAAAAAATAGAAAGTCAACCTAAAACCAATCCATCAATCTTGACACTTGTCAAAGACATATAACTTTGAAAATTTAAAGAGTAGTTGATTCTTTTGATATTCAGTAAACTCATGTTTTGTGATTTGTTTCCATTGTGAGCCTGAATTATGGGACACCGTTTTTTTTATAGAATTCTTTCATTCTTTTGAATTCTAAAACAAAAGAAAGAAAGAAAAAACATTTTCAAACAGGATAATATATCAAGAACGAAAGAGGTCCTTAAAGTTAATGAGGCCCCTAAAGTTGATGAGGCATGCTCTGCCTCAAATAAAGGAGTGAGACAACAAAAAAAGCCAAAGAAAGGAAAATAAGCAATGCAAAAACAAAGAATACATTCTCCGATTTTGGAAGAAATAAAGAAGGAAAGATCAAGAGATTCAAGAATGGATTTTCTCACTTTTTGTGTGATGTTGTCAGCATCAACAATCGATCAAGAAGAACACGATCTCCTTAATAAGAAGGGCATGACTTACTTTGATATTTTTCTAGTATCTCAATTTATAACAAGGGTTCAAGGTATTTCTGTTTGAAGAATTGATCACTTCTTAATTGTCTATCTGACTATGAGACCTCATAAAAGGGAAGCCTTTAAATTATTATATAAGAATAATAAGAAAGGAAAAATACTCGATAATACTTATATTGAACCAAATTTAAAGCATGTGATTGCTGATAAGTGGTACGCAAGTCAGAACATTCGAAGCCAAACTATTTGGCATGATGAGCCATGAATGTCCCACATTAAGGTGTATCCAAAAAACTCGATCATGTTTAGATAGTAAGATAAAAAAATTCCATCATTTTCTTTTTTCCTTATTTTTAAATTGAGCTTCATATTCTGTTTTATTTCATTTTAGTCTTACATATTATTTATGAGTTTATGTCATTTTCATTACATGCGATTTACTTTATTGGCATGATTAGTCCAAATACTTTTTATTATTTTATTTTAATACCCTTTGGATGTTGATTTCAATTTCTGTTATTTATTAATTTTCATTTTAAGTCTCCCAAATTATTAATGGTTTTAATGCAAGACAACCCACATAATTTCTCACCAATGTAGATTTGACCTTTAATTTATATTTTTTAACTTTTATGAATTTGGCCCATATTTTTTATTTTATTTTATTTTGGCCCTTGTACTATTATATGTATAGTATAACACCATCTATTGTTCTTTAAAATGGTAGAAAAGCATTAAGATTCGGTAATAGTCATCGCTAAGATTATTTTGCACTTTTACGAATTTTTAAGAATGCCTTTTGTAGAATGGGCGTGAAAAGTGTAACTTGTTAGAAGTAACACGATTCAATATGACATTTGAACGAAAATCAAACTTGAAAATAATCGAGTGTGGTTTGATAAAAATTGAAGTAATAAAAATGAAATCATTATTTTGTTTGATGTTTTATGTATGTTGTTTGATTAATTTCTCTTATATTCCATTCATGTTTAATATAAGGTTTTAACAAATAAATAAATTAGTCAATGTTCGATAAAAGGATCACATTTTAAAATTTGACTCAAATCTACAAGTTCCACCACTACGACAACATATAAGCGACCATGCACCAATTTTGGGCGCTGTGGGGTGTTAATCCTTCCCCACATGTAACCGACCCCCGAGCCCTTAAAAACGAATCTTTGGTTAATGCAGATTAATTTTTATCTTTAAAATGATTTTTCTTAAAATTGTTTTAAAAGATATTTTTAGGTATTCGACCTACCTAACACAAAGGTCGATGGAGACTCTAATTCAAATCGATTTCGAAACCCATCATTTCTCGAAATTCGTACTATTTTATCCTGTTATAAAAAATGGTGAGAACAACTTAGCGATTCCCTTGGGGATTGGTTAGAGAGTTAGGCCATTAATCGTTTATACGTTGACTTAAATTAGATTATAATATTTTTAATTGCACATTGATTAATTTATTATTCATTTTTATGTAAATAATTGTACTGACTTTTAAACTAATGGTTGCAGCTTCATTGAATTTTCCTTTTCGAAAGTATTTATCTTTGTTTTGTGTTTGGTTAAAGGTTTATATGTTCCTCCTCACACACTTTAGTGCATCACATGACATAAGCTCCATACCCGAGCTCTATCCTGATTAAGTAAGGGTGAACGCTATGCTTTCATGGTGAATTTATTCCTTGTATGAGATATAGCCACTAACCTCTGAGATATAAACCTTGTACCTCTGTGGGAATTTATTTCCTCTTATGGGCATAGGGAATTGGATCTCATCAAAATAAACTAGTTCCATATGAATCTTGTAATGGGTGAGGATCGAGGGTTTGACAGCCCAAGGGGGCACCAACATCAAGGGCAATTTGAGTACCCTTCTTCCATAGAGCTGAAACCATGCATGTAGTGAACCATAGACTAGTCACTCTAGGTAGAGCCATACCGAACCTCTATCTGTCAATAGGTACCGAAATAGGTGTTGAAAAAGGAGGAACGATTCTAAAACTTTACACTTTGCTTTAAATTCATAGAATAAATTTCTTTCTGAATGAAAGCATGTGAACTAGATACCATGCGGTTAGGATTGATTGACATAAAATTTGTAGGTAGAAAACATGCTCGGGTAGGTTTTTTATCTAATAAAAACATGTTGGGTAAATATCATGATCGGGTAGGTGTTATATTTACCTCTAAATAGCATTTTATTCCTCATCAATTATCTTATTTGTGCTAACTTATTTCTTACTTTAGGTCATTTTCACCTTTTTGCATCACATTATCATTACATAATACAAAGATATCGATCCAAAATTGAATATCTAAGTGAAATGTTTGAAAGGGAAAAATAAGTATTCAATCAAGTAAACGCATACACAGACATGCACCGATGGCTAGGAGAAGCTCAAAGAGAACAAGGAGGGAGCTCGCTTGGAGAATCAAGCATCAAAGTCGATTTATAACATGACATCCAAGATTAGATGGCATCTCAAGGGCATCATCTAAGATAGATCATTTTTTGAATAACTCTATATAAGTCCAAGGATCATATAGAACTTGAGAGATCGGGTTTCTCAAGATGAAATCCCAGCCGAAACATTAGCGTACTTTAGACCAATTTCCCAAGCAAAGGCATGTCTGTAAAATGGACTACTTTGTAAAGTAAAAACTTTGATCTTCAATGAAACATTTTCCTTGATGTTCATCATTGGGATCAACTCCATTTGCATTTGCATTTGTATTTTGATTGTACATTCACATCTCTGCATCTTTGTGTTTACATCTATATGTACTTAAATTTATTGAAGCATTATAACATTCATTCAATTATTAAAACACTGAATAATAAGGAAAGATTTTTTATCGCAGTGGTCCTAACCCCTACTATTATCAAGAAAATTTTACACCCATATAGTACAAGAAAATATGACTAAGGAAATGAAAGACATGCTAGAAAAAGTTGAGAAAACAATAGAAGGAATTACAAGAAGAGGTGAGAGGTCGATAGACCAAAATTGAAGTTGATATTGCTAGTTCTTAACTAGATTTATTGGACAAGATGAAAGAAATGCTCATGATGTATGTGATTGCTGGAAATAGTCTTGTAGAAGGCCCTACGCATCCCCTAGGTTTTACACTTATTCATATTCTTGTGACCACCCCGGTGCATTAGGAATCTGGTCCCGAGTTTTCTTTGCTGCTAAGAACTCTCCTCAACATCCGGCTAGGACTTCTATCAAAATTAATTACCCTAATGTGTTTAGAGTGAAACGTAGTGTTCTTCACACTGACAATAAGGTCCCCGAATTAAATAAAATTTCTGAGAAGGAAAGATCCAAGAATGATCAAGCCTAACAATTGAAAATTTTAGATGAGAAGATAAAATCTAGATAGATGATTGAGTCTTTTTATGGGTTCGATGCCATAGAGCTAAGTTTGATCCTCGACCTGGTCCTTTAACCAAAGTTTAAAGCTCCTAACATTGTGAAGTATGATGGGACCACTTGTCATTCGTCCCACATCACCATGTTTTGTAGGAGAATAACTGGTCATGTGGAGAATGAGAAGTTGTTGATCCACTGTTTCAAGACAGTATGATTGGACCCACTTCTAAGTGGTATAAACAACTAAATCATACTTAAATAAATTCTTGGAAATATTTACCTTAGGCCTTCTTAGGAAAATAAAAATACGTGACTGATATGGCCCATGATCATACAACGCTACAAAATATGGAGATGAAGTATAACTGGAGCTTCCGATAGTATGCACAACGATGGAAAGATGATGCATACCAAGCTCATCCACCATTAACTGAAAGGGAGTTTACTATCATGTTCATCAACACCTTAAAGTCCCCATATATCTATCACATGATAAGAGTAGCCACGAAGATTTTCTC